CCTGCAGTTCTCCTCTCCACCTGTCACCCTCCAGGGGCCACTCTGATCCCCCCCACACTTTTTTTTTTTTAACAAAGATGCTTTTTCTTAGGCTTCCATCTGCTCTCTTTCTTTTACTTACCACAGACATGTCCCTTTCATTATAAAAGTAATGGTAACCATATTGCACAAAATAGCAAATAAAGAACAGAATAAACTACTTATGTTGTTTACCTCCCACCAACATTAACATTTCGGTGTATTTCCTCTCGGGGGTTTTTTTTTTCTTCCTCCTAAACATACTAGTATGTGAAATAAAATGAAAGCGACTTAATATCCTGCCCTTGTTAATTCTATCAACACGTCCCAGGTCGCTATCTTCTTCACAGGCACACGCAGCAGCCACTGGGAAAACGCTCCGCAGCGGAACCTGTGCTGCGGCAGCATTCAGAACGCCCCGCTCCCACTCGTGGTTCAATCACCAGCGAGGGGTTTCTCAGCGCACATAGTGCTCCCCTTATTCTGGACGGAGTCCTTGGAAAGGCATTGCCACAAGGGGAACTAGGTCAGATTATAAGCACGGTTTCATGCTTCTCAAAAAGGTGGTGCCAACCTCCTGCGGAAGACGCCGTGTGCCCTCGGACTTATACACACGCACGCGCGTACGCACACCCGGCACCAAGGCCCTTTCTAGCACTGTATACTTTGCCCAAAGAGTTCGGCCAAGTTAAGAGATGGAAAGAATTACCTTGCCGCCTCCTCTTCTTTTTCCACTTTTTTTTTCTGGGAACCAAACACAAGCGTCATTGGATGGTTAGGGTGAGGGCCTGAGCAGACCCCGCTGGGCCCCCACCTCCTGCACACTCAGCCCAGGGGCCTGGCCAGGGTCCCTTCCCTCACCTTGGCAACGCTTGTCTGCTTCTGGGATGCCAGCCTCTTGCCTTTTTTGACAGGGGTCTCCTCTAGGGACACCTCTTCATCATCATCGTCGTCATCGTCATCATCTTCCTCTGACTGCTGCTCCTCTTCCTCCTCCTCTTCCTCCCAGGAGAGTTCTGGAATTTCTGCACATGGGAGAGGAGAGGTGCCTGGGGGAGTCCCCGCAGGAGTGCAAGTGTCTGCCTGCCTCCCTGGGAAGCCCTCCTGGCCTCCCTGACAGAGTGAAGGCCAGGAGGTGGCGGGAAGCGGCCTTGACAGCTCAAGAGGGCCTGGCCGAGGGTGGTAGAAGGAGGCGGGGAAGGGCAAGCTGGGCTCTGCCTTGGGGGGGGGGGCGGTGAGGACTCTCCAGGGAAGGAGTGTGTGAGGGGAGGAAGGGGAAGGTGGGGAGGAACTGGAGTAGCAGTTAAGGACTTCAGGCCTTATCCACAGGGAAGTGGACGCTGCCGGGGTTTGGGGGCAGGAGAGCACCCCGAGGACAGAGGCCCAGCCGGACAGAGAAGAGGGCCAGTGAGAGGACATCGAAAGAGTCAACAGCACAGCGACTTGCTGGCCCATGTGACTGCTACAGCTACGTACTTCGCTTTAAGTTAACATTTTAAAAATATATATTTTTATTGATTTCAGAGAAGAAGGAAGAGGGAGAGATTGAAACATCAACAATAAGAGAGAATCATTGATGGGCTGCCTCCTGCGCGTCCCCCACTGAGGATCGACACCAACCTGGAATCGTGGGAATCTAATAGTGACCTCCTGGCAATAGGTTGACACTCAAACACTGAGCCACGCTGGCCAGGCTAAGCTAACACGTTAAGTGCGTGCTAGTACTGGGTACCATGCTAACTGCTTTTCCTGAACATCCCATTTATTCCTCACAGCTAGTCTTTGTAGATGAAACCTAGTACACCCCTACCCTCACGTTCCAGGTGAGGGGCTGCGGCACAGGCACAGGCACGGTGCAGGGAGGTGAGGTGCAGGGAGGTGAAGGAGAACTGGGGGTAGAACTGTGCCTGTGGCCTTCCTGCCCAGGCTACTGGCAACCGTGCTACCTTTGGGGATTCTCTCTAATCACTCAGGAGCCCTCCTCTGTTGGGGTGTTCATTACGTCCCTGGCCCCGTGCACCCTCAGACCTTCCCCAGGTCCAAGCTCAGACTTACCGTAACATTCCTGGCCACTGAGGAACACGGGTCCCAAGCCAGCCCGCAGCTGAAAAGTGACTGGAGGAGAGAGCTCCAGGCCCATCATGACCTGCAGGCGGAGGGATGTGGGGGCAAGAGCAGAGAAGACAGGGTCGCTCGGGCGCCCCCAGGCTGGGGGCCGGCCTCCTGCAGAAACACTCAGAGTTTACCCCCAAGCCCCAGCCGCGGAGTCACTGCGCTCGGCCCTCCCCCTTTCTGCCGAGGCGGACTCTGGCAGAGAAGAATTCGAATCTGACCAACTCATTCTCGCTAAGATCTCAGGTGAGCTTCCAACCAACCTCAGGGGCAGCTGTTAGTAGAGAACTCTCACTGCTACAGACTAAACTGTGTCTCCCAAAGTCTTACGCTGAAGCCCTAACCCCAATGTGATGGCATCTGGAGATGTGAGGCCTTTGGGAGGTGATTAGGGTGAGATGAGGTCATGAGAGTCATCATGAGATTAGTGTTCCTTTAAGATGAGACTAGAGACCCTCCTCCTGCCTCACACCCCCCTGCCCCCATGTGGGACAGAGGAGGCACCGTGTAGAAGCTGGGAAGAGGGCCCTTCCTAGGACCTGACCATGCTGGCACCCTGGTCCCACACAGACTACGCACGAATCAGATGAGCAAAGCAGATGCAAATCTGCATGTGTAGGGGGACTTCTGTCTTATAAGTTACATGGGAATATGCATATGAATAAAGGTTGGGAAAGATGAAGTGCTAACCCTAATTTTCAGTGGGTAGTACAGAATTTTTTTTTAAAATATATTTTCCCAGACATTCCACAGGAAGCATTTCACCTGCTTTATCTCATTTACTCCACACCCATGGGGGAGGTGCCATTACTTTACAGAGGAAATTGAGGCTGAGAGGGATTCACTTCGAGTTTCTGGTTCAGACAGGGAGCAAATAAGCAAAAACAAACTCCGCAGCACCAACACCTAGAAAGGCTGGATGAAATGTAACCCAATGGCTGAAGAGTAAGAAGAAAGGAGAGTCCCCAGGCATCAGACGTGAGGCAGCCTGTGCGAGAGCCGCTCTGCAGCAGCTGAAGGAAATGCACTGGAGATGACACGCGTGCTCGGACGGGGCCACTGTACGGAGGCCAGCACCCTCGAAGGGCTGCACCTCAGTAAAAGCCCCAGCCTGAGGCTCGAGGGGAGGGGACGAAAGAACCCCAAACCAACAGGTAGGAACTACACACCACCAGAAAAAGGTGACGGGATTAAGAAGCACAAATTGGTTGTCACAAAATAGTCGTGAGGATGTAAAGTACAGCACAGGGAATACAGTCAATAATCCTATATAATAAAAGGCTAATATGCAAATTGACCAAATGGCAGAACGGCCGGTTGCCATGACACGCACTGACCACCAGGACGTAGACGCTCAATGCAGGAGCTGCCCCCTGGTGGTCAGTGCGCTCCCACAGGGGAAATGCGGCTCAGCCAGAAGCCAGGCTCAAGGCTGGTGAGCGCAGAGTGGTGCCAGCAGTCAGACATCCCCTGAGGGCTCCCAGACTGCGAGAGGGCGCAGGCCGGGCTGAGGGCCCCCCCAGTACACGAATTTTGTGCACCAGGCCTCCAGTGATGTAATAACTATGTATGGTGCCAGGTGGGTACTTGGAATGTCACGGGGACCACTTTGTAAAGTACATGATTGTCTAACCACTATACTATATAAATTGAAATGAAAAGAAAATATGAAATGTCAACTATAATTAAAAAATAAAACTTAAATTTGAAAAACGGTGTGGCTTGGGCCATTTTGGAGAGTTACTCAGTTTTTCTGGGTCTCTCCCAGGTACACAGGAGATATGCATGTTATTAAACTTCAGTTGTTAAAAAAAAGAAAGAAACTACACACCACCACAGAAAGGCAACAAGGAAATGCTGGCCGGGATAGAGCTAGCACCCCAGGATGCACCTGTCGCTTGTCTGCAGTCTGGATGTGCCTGGTGCGGACAGCCACGCTGAGAAACCCACCTGAAATCCAGGGCTTGTGATGTTCCTGGGGCAAATGGCAGATGCAAACACAAAACTACTGTCCATTCTTTTCACATAGAATTTTTTAGAGAAAACAAGACAATTCGCCGTCTAAAATTACAAAACAGCCCTGGCCAGTGTGGCTCAGGTGGTTAAGCATCCATCGCCCTCCTGTGCACCTAAAGGTCTGTGGTTGGATTTCGGGTCAAGACACAGGCCCGGGTTGCGGGTGGATCCCCAGTAGGGGGTGTGCAGGAGGCGGACTAGCAATGCTTCTCTTTCTCTCCCTCTCCATTCCTCTCTAAAAAAAAAATTAGTAAAACAACCACCTTCTTTAAAAAAGTAAAATTGCAAGCCATACAAGAAGCAATCCTGCATCAGCAGAAGGAAACAAAATGACTGTCACGAGCACGACCAGGGGCCTGAGGTCGGAGAATAACAATCCGGACTTCTAGGAAGTAAGGCTGATGAAGACCAAATAAATATAAAAACAGGAATCAGAAACCTAAGAACTGCCGAAACCGGTTTGGCTCAGTGGATAGAGCGTCCGCTTGCAGACTGAAAGGTCCCAGGTTCGATTCCGGTCAAGGGCATGTACCTGGGTTGCGGGCACATCCCCAGTGGGAGATGTGCAGGAGGCAGCTGATCGATGTTTCTCTCTCATCGATGTTTCTAACTCTCTATCTCTCTCCCTTCCTCTCTGTAAAAAATCAATAAAATATATTTAAAAAAAAAAAAAGAAACCTAAGAACAACATGTTGTGAAAAATAAAAAAAGTACCAAATGCAGTCTCTATACATGAAAAAATATAAGCGTTGAAACAAACTGAACAAATGTTTAAAAAGCAGAATAAGCCAGCTGAAGCTGGAAGGTAAACTGGGAAACAGCTGTGAATAAATTACCCAGAATGCATCACAGAGAGACAGACTAACAAAGTCTGAAAGAGAAGCTGGGACGCGGAGGACAGGATGAGAAGACCCAACATGCATCTGATCAGACTAAAGGGCTGGAGAGAATGGAGTCAATATTTAAAGTGAAAACCACAAAGCCTAGCCGTTTGGCTCAGTGGATAGAGTGTCGGGCCTGCGGACTGAAGGGTCCTGGTTCCGATTCTGATTCTGGGGCACATGCCTGGGTTGGGGGCTCGATCCCCAGTGTGGGGCGTGCAGGAGGCAGCCGATCCATGATTCTCTCTCATCACTGATGTTTCTCTCTCTGTCTCTCTCCCTCTCCCTTCCTCTCTGGAATCAATTTAAATAAATAAATAAAAACTTTAAAAAAAAAGAATATGGCAATTAAATTGAGAAGGAAGAAGTGGCTACAACAAGCAGTGGTGAGCGAGCTAATTGGTAAACAAAGAAAAAAATGTAAGTGAGCATCACCGTAAAATAAGTTAGTACTGGTAATGACTAGTGTTGAGTGGGTTTAAAACAAGTTGAAGCTAAAACACTACATGACAACAACATGTAAATGAAGAAGAGAATAATCAGAAAAGCTTCCTGGATAGTTTGAGAGGAATAAAAACATTAATTTTTTACTTTGATCATGCATGATTGCTAAAAAATTAAGGACAACCAATAAAAATCAGAATGGGTTCTGTAGTTTCCAAACCAGTAGAAAGAAAAATGGGAAAAGAAACTGCAGTCAATCTAATAAAAGACAGAAAAAGGAGAACAAATAAAATATATAAGAGCAAGGAAAGTAGAAGCACAAAGTACGTTTTACAAATAAATCCAAGCATATTAGCAAACACAGTAAATATAAACAGATTCTACCAGCCAGATAGACTAAAACAAAGTCTAGCCACATACTGATTGTAGGATATACACTTAAAACATAAGGTCAGAAATGTTAAAGCAAAGAGACGGAAGCATATATTTAGATGTGGGGGAGATTTTCACTTGCTTATCCAATATCCATTCTTCCTTTCTTGCATAACAGCAATGCCCTGTGATTATTCAAATGTTGTACCCAGACAAAGACTGCATCCCCCAGCTTCCTCTGCAGCTATGAACGTGTTACTAATTTCTGGACCGGTGAGTTGTAAGCAGAATTTCGTGGGTGGTACTTGTGCAATGACTCCTTAAAAGTTGGACAGAGAACTGAGAAAGCCCCTTTGGCCTTCCCTTGCTTCTCCTTTCCTATGACCTTAAATGCAGAAGTGAGGGCTGGAGCGATGGCAGCCTTCCTGGACTGTCAGGTGATCTTGAGGATGGAATTCTGCACTAAGGATGGGAGAGAGATAAGAGGAGACTTGGGCTTTGGTGACCACGGAGCCATCTCACCAGCCCTAGACTGCCCATCTCTGGACTTCTATGCAAGACAGAAATAAATATCAAATTTGTTTAAGCCCCCATGGTTGGGTCTTTGTTATTGCAGCCATACCTAATGAAAATGAAGCTAGTTGTACCATCTGGTGAGTGGTATGGATAATGGGGGAGGCTATATATATGTAAGGAGTAGGTGATACAGGAGAAATCTTTGTACCTTCCTCTCAATTTTATTATAAACCTGAAACTGCTCTAAAAATAAAAAAATAAAGTGCTTTAAAATTGAGCTAGTTGTAGTTGTTAGCATTAGATTTGGTATCAAGTGACAGAAAACTCAATAACAGTAGCTTACACAACTAGGAGCTTGTTTCTTTGACATGTAAACTAAGTCCAGATATAAGCAGCTGTGGGCTTCCTGCTCCTCAGTCACCAGGGACCCAGGCTCTCTGTACTGTGTAGCTTCACCAACCTCAACACATGGCTTCTACCTCCTGGCCTAGATGGCTGCTCAGATTCTGGCCATCACATCCCCATTCCAGCCAGCAGGAAGGAGAAAGAGACAAAAAACAGCCACATGATCTGTTTGAGGACACGGCAGATGCAGGAGATACCACTTCTGCTTACATTCCACTGGCCAGAACTTCATTGCCAAACTCAAAAGCAATATAGTTTTCATTCTCAGTAGCCTTACGGCCAGCTGAAAGTCATGAATTCCACTGCTAAAGAAAAGGGAGAGTGGATATTGAGGGACGATTGGGAAACAAATTAATATCATATGATTTAGGCTTTAATTCAATAAGTACTTTAGAGATAA